ATGAAAGTGGTAAGTTAAAAGAGTAATTTTATATTGAGAACAAAAAATAATTAGTTTTGTTTAATTTTTAGGTAAACTTAATATTTTTCGCCTCGCTGGTGGGTTCTTCGTGGTGTGGCTTGATCTTACACAATATTCGCGATGAACTTCACTCCAAACTTTATGGTCATGGTTTGCATGGTGAGAATTATCAAAATTCTCCCATTATCAATATAAACAATCAACAGCAAGTGGTGCAACAGTCAGCTGTTGCACCACTTGTTGCTGGGCAAAATGTGCCTTCGGGTCCTCGCGGAGATTATGGTTCTCTGCCATCGGGGTATGAAAATCAGTACTTGTATGGTGCTAACTTTAAAGCTGGCAGTACAAAATATAGTCATCATGGCTACAATCCCGAGTCACCTTCATATGGCAGTCATCATATGGGTGGTGGTTTTCGTGGTGAGTCAGCCAGTGGCATTTCATCACATCAAATGATGAAACAGGAAAGTTATAAACATCGTGAGGGTCCAAAGTTCGGTTATCATCATGATACGAATATATTTGGCAATGCTCAAGGTTTCAACAGCAATAATGTACCCATATACTCTTCCTCAAGTTCATCTGCTTCCTCATCAAGTTCATCATCTTTAGGTGGATCGTCTTCATCATCTGCTAGTAGTAGTTCAAGTGCCGAAGGCAGTGGTGGTGTTTTTAGACCATGGAAACGTCGTTCTTAGATTGTTTGTAATTGCTTTGAAATTGGTGCCTTTTATTTACATTAAATAAAATGTTTGGTGTTCCCCTACTAATCAAATTTGCAATATCTGTCAAATATTTCTAAATCTGATTAATATGGGAATGAGGTATATATAACAAGATACATATACTATGTATATGTTAAAACTAAATTGGAATTGTTTTATTTAAGGTTATTGGATTAGGAAGGAGTTATAAACAAAAACTCTTAAAGACAATAAAAAAAGACAAACGTTTTTTGAAAGAAATTGCTTTTCATAATATTTTACCGAAAATTATATCAAAATTCAATTAATCTTGGTAAAAAATATTTCATTTCCAATAAAAATAAAAAAAATCCTTTAAAGGGAAATTTTATAAATTAAGGAAAATTTCAGAGATTAGAAAAAATATATAAACTAATAAAAATCACATTAATATAAACATACTTCGATGATCTAGAACTAAACTAGAAGTAGAACTGAACTAGAACTAGAACTGAACTACTGAACTGAACTAACTAGAACTGACGAACTGAACTAGAACTGAACTAGAACTGAACTAGAACTGAACTAGAACTGAACTAGAACTGAACTAGAACTGAACTAGAACTGAACTAGAACTAGAACTGAACTAGAACTGACTAGAACTGAACTAGAACTGAACTAGAACTGAACTAGAACTGAACTAGAACTGAACTAGAACTGAACTAGAACTGAACTAGAACTGAACTAGAACTGAACTAGAACTGAACTAGAACTGAACTAGAACTGAACTAGAACTGAACTAGAACTGAACTATAACTGAACTATAACTGAACTATAACTGAACTAGAACTGAACTAGAACTGAACTAGAACTGAACTAGAACTGAACTAGAACTGAACTAGAACTGAACTAGAACTGAACTAGAACTGAACTAGAACTGAACTAGAACTGAACTAGAACTGAACTAGAACTGAACTAGAACTGAACTAGAACTGAACTAGAACTGAACTAGAACTGAACTAGAACTGAACTAGAACTGAACTAGAACTGAACTAGAACTGAACTAGAAACTGAACTAGAACTGAACTAGAACTGAACTAGAACTGAACTAGAACTGAACTAGAACTGAACTAGAACTGAACTAGAACTGAACTAGAACTGAACTAGAACTGAACTAGAACTGAACTAGAACTGAACTAGAACTGAACTAGAACTGAACTAGAACTGAACTAGAACTGAACTAGAACTGAACTAGAACTGAACTAGAACTGAACTAGAACTGAACTAGAACTGAACTAGAACTGAACTAGAACTGAACTAGAACTGACTAGAACTGAACTAGAACTGAACTAGAACTGAACTAGAACTGAACTAGAACTGAACTGAACTAGAACTGAACTAGAACTGAACTAGAACTGAACTAGAACTGAACTAGAACTGAACTAGAACTGAACTAGAACTGAACTAGAACTGAACTAGAACTGAACTAGAACTGAACTAGAACTGAACTAGAACTGAACTAGAACTGAACTAGAACTGAACTAGAACACTGAACTAGAACTGAACTAGAACTGAACTAGAACTGAACTAGAACAGAACTAGAACTGAACTAGAACTGCACCAGAACTGAACTAGAACTGTACTAGAACTGAACTAGAACTGAACTAGAACTGAACTATAACTGAACTATAACTGAACTAAAACTGAACTAGAACTGAACTAGAACTGAACTAGAACTGAACTAGAACTGAACTAGAACTGAACTAGAACTGAACTAGAACTGAACTAGAACTGAACTAGAACTGAACTAGAACTGAACTAGAACTGAACTAGAACTGAACTAGAACACTGAACTAGAACTGAACTAGAACTGAACTAGAACTGAACTAGAACTGAACTAGAACTGAACTAGAACTGAACTATAACTGAACTAAAACTGAACTAAAACTGAACTAGAACTGAACTAGAACTGAACTATAACTGAACTAAAACTGAACTAGAACTGAACTAGAACTGAACTAGAACTGAACTACAACTGAACTTGAACTGAACTACAACTGAACTTGAACTGAACTACAACTGAACTTGAACTGAACTAGAAAAAAAACCATAGTTGAATTAAACAAGAACTGCATTAGAACTGAACTAGAACTGATGTTGAACTCAACTGAAACCAGAATTAGAACTGGTCTAGAACAAGAATGATTTGGAGAATTTAGAACAGAACTAGACCAGAATTCTGTTAGGTTAGGTTCGTTTAATCAAAAATTCGATCGATGAGAAAGCCAATATTGTATAATTCCAAAGAAAACTAAGAATTTAAAACGACGAAAGTCAGTCCAAATTAGCAAATAAAGTAAAAGGTTTAAGAACATCTGCCTATGAAAGTAGTCTATTTCTAAACCGTATGTAGTCAAGAGACAGACTAAAGAAAGCTAAAGAAAATATTGCCCATTAAGGACACCCTGCTAAAACCAAGAAGATGGTTTGTATACGCACTAAAAACTATTGTGAATGATTCACAAATTCTCAAGTACAAAATTTGAAAAAATTTCCATCATAGAAAAACATGTGTTTATTTTTAAAACATATTTTTAAATAAAATTTGTGGAAAACCCCCTTCACTGAAACGCATTTATTTTCTTTAACATTAAAAAATAAACTAGAAAAAATAAAAAATTACCTGAAATCTTGATTTTTTTCTTTAAATTTTATTTTATGCTTGATTTCTGGCAGCTTTGCGTTCATAATATCTTTGCACCGCTGCATCGAACACTTCACCCACTGTACGTTTACGCCAAACTTCAGCTTTATCACGTTTAGGTTTGGGTGGAGGTAGATCTTCTTTAGTTACTTCCACCGAAGGAATGGGTAACGGTTTCTCTTCCTCTTTTTTAGGTTTTTCAATTTGACTATCTTTTTGCTCTTCCGGCTTAAGGGATTTCAAATTAAGAGCCATGGAATTGGAAGGAGTCTTGGAGATTTTCGAATCTTCAGGTGTTGAAGAATCTTTTGTAATTTTAGGTTTTTTATTTTTAGTATTAGCTTCATTATCACTATCCTCTTCGGAGGAGGAGTCATCTATGCTAAAATCTGAATCGGCATCTATATTATTGGTTAAATGTACTTTTTTCTCTGTTTCTTCTTTTATCGAAATATCGTTTTCTTTTTCCTCTTCTTCGTCGGAAGCTTGCCGTTTGCGATAAGCTCTCGATTGTGTGGGTTTACCCGATTTAATGGGTTTATACGATACTCCCTCCTCATCACTATCTCCTGCATTTGTTATTTCTGGTTTCAGCTCGGGTTTTTTAACTTCCTTCGAAGTGCCCATTTTCTGTTCATACAAATGCCGATAGAAACCATCCAAGTCCTTTTGTTTGGTAACATCACCTATAGCCTCCAAGTAGTCATCTCGTTTATTTTGTTCCTCCAATTTGCGCATTTCTTCCAATTTCTTGCGATAGGCCGAGGTAACAAACTTTTCTTTGTCTTTAAATTCTTCCCCCTCAGCTTCACGTTCTTTTTGTACTTGTCTTTCGACTCTCAGCTCATTTTCCAATTTGCGTCTTTCCGCCGTTTCCATAAGTTTAGTTATATATCGCGCCTTTTTTGGTTCATTACTTTTAACTTGCTTTTCCTCTTCACGCTTATTTTCCATTTCATCATATAGTTCATCATATTGAAAAATTGTGGGATCTTCTGCCAAGGCCTTTTCTTGTAAATTCTTAGCCTTACGTTTTTCCATAAGACTCGGTCCCATGGGAGCCTTTTTCATTTGCATTTGTGGCGGGCCATTTTCATCAGATTCCGAACTGCTTTCATCAAAAATGGAAGGTTTAGTGAATTCTCGTGCTACCTCACGGGAGGGTTGTTTCTTTTGTTGTCCGGGAAGTATTAGACCATATCTGGAAAATGTAAAAATTATAAATTATTGAAAAAAATAAAAATAGAAATAAATTTTTTTTTACTGTTTGGACATTTTGTTTTGCTTGCTTACATGACCGCACAGCTGTTACAGAGTTGTTATTGACTAGTTTGACATAGAGTTGTATTTCTTAGTAGCAAAATGTTGGGGGAATTTAAAGTTTAGTACGGATATGTATATATTTTTAATATTTAGTATATTTTCTTGGAAATGAAAAACTATGATGAAATTGACCCAGTCTGTATTAGTTTTAATAAAAGTTAAAGGTTTAATTTGAAATTATGCCGGATGAATCGAAAAAATAATCAAATATACTAAAAAAAGCCATTTTTCTCAAAAAAAAAGTTGAAGGTAAATATAGAATTGGGTTTTATAGGTTTTTGAAAGAAACTATATCAAAATATTGATGTATTTAAAGAATGACAACTTTTTAGATGATTTTCTGTAATTTTTACTTATTAATTTCATATCTTTCAAACCGTTCCAGTAAATATGTAAAATATATCGATGAAACATGAAATTTTAATTAAATTTAATTGCTGTATTTGGCTTGTGAATTTCAGACAGAAATTAGGGTTCTATAGTTGAAACGAAAAGTCGACTTTTCGACTTTTTGCATTTAGTTAAAAGTCGACTTTTCGACCTTTCGACTTTTTCCATTTTATGAAAAGTCGATTTTTCGACTTTTCGACCTTTTTCATTTATTTAAAAGTCGACTTTTAGACTTTTCGACTTTTAGTATTTTATAAATGGTCGACTTTTCGACTTTTTCCGACTTTTTCCGATTTTTATCGACTTTTCGACTTTTTCCGACTATTTTCGACTTTTCGTCTTTTTTCGACTTTTCGACTTTTTTCGACTTTTCCGACTTTTTTCGACTTTTCGACTTTTTTCGACTTTTTCCGACTTTTTCCGACTTTTTCCGACTTTTGTCAACTTTTCGACTTTTTCCGACTTTTCTACTTTTCGATTTTTTACTACTTTTTGACTATTTTCGACTTTTTTTTCGACTTTTTTCGACTATTTTTTACTTTTTTTGAGTTTTTCCGACTATTTTAGAGTTTTTGACCTCTTTTCCACTTTTTTAAAATATTCGACTATTTTCGACTTTTTCCGACTTTTCTACTTTTTTCGACTTTTCGACTTTTTCCGACTTTTCTACTTTTTCGACTTTTCGACTTTTTTCGACTTTCTTCGACTTTTTTCGACTTATCGACTTTCTTCGACTTTTCGACTTTTTTCGACTTTTCGACTTTTTTCGACTTTCCGACTTTTCGACTTTTTTCGACTTTTATTTACAAAGTCGACTTTTCGACTTTTTTCATAGACGATAGTCGAGTTATCGACTTTTTTGGAACAAAATAGTCGACTTCGACTTTTCGACTTTTTTCGACAAAAAGTCGATTGTTCGATTATTCGAAAGTCGATTTATAGAACCCTAACAGAAATGTGATTTTTCGTAATTTTTTATCAACAATTCGATTTTTATACGTGTTTTTACTAAAAATTTTGACTTCGTTTATAATTCCAACAAATATTCACGGTTTCAGCTTTTAAAAATATCCAAAATATTTTAAAAATCCTTGAAATTAATTAATTTAATTTAAAATTAAATAAATTTCTTCATAATTTCATAACATTTTTCCCTTTAGTACATTTTTCAATAAATTAATTTCCCATTTACAAATACTACTCTTTTCTGCAACCGTGCAAAATACAAATGGCGCTGAGAAGCAAACGTGAAAAGAAAAAAATGCTTCAATTTTTTTAGACGGCTGCCACAACCTGCTGCGTACGTCCAACAATTTGTAAAGAAAAAGCCGGAAAAATTGCTTAAAAATCACAAAAAACATAATAAAAGTGAAGTTTAAGTGTAGCAAAATGTTTTTACAATAAAATTTTAACAAAATAAATGAATTTTTCGCGAAAAAATTCATTTGAAAAATTTCTTTGTTGAATTGATGAAATTCGTATGAAGAAAAAATCACACGAAGCGAGAGTCTAGAAAACGACAGCAAACGAACTTTTTAAAAAAAAGTGTTGAAATCGCCAGCGGAGTCTCAGCTCGAGGTTAGCGGAGCGCTAGCGAAAGTTTTTTCTTTTTTTTGATTACAAAGACTAGAGGGGTAGTGTTAGAAACCCCCCGTAATAGTTTTAAGTAGAGGAATTTTAGAAATTTAGACACAAAATGGCTACTAATGATTCCAAAGCGCCTATAAGGCAGGTAAAACGTGTGCAATTCGGTATATTGTCTCCGGATGAAATTGTAAGTACTGTTAAGAGGCGCAAAAAGGGTAGTTGCTGTAATGTATAAACAATGTTTTAAAATGACCTTTTGTTTTGCTTACTTTAGCGACGTATGTCAGTCACAGAGGGCGGTGTACAGTTTGCCGAAACCATGGAAGGTGGCCGTCCCAAATTAGGTGGTCTTATGGATCCCCGTCAAGGTGTCATAGATCGTACCTCACGTTGCCAAACCTGTGCTGGCAATATGACAGAATGTCCCGGCCATTTTGGCCACATCGACTTGTCTAAACCCGTATTTCATATTGGTTTTATAACAAAAACCATCAAAATTTTAAGATGTGTTTGCTTTTATTGTTCCAAAATGTTGGTATCACCACATAATCCCAAAATCAAAGAAATTGTTATGAAAACAAAGGGACAACCGCGTAAGCGTCTGGCTTATGTTTATGATTTGTGTAAAGGCAAAAAGATTTGCGAAGGTGGTGAAGATATGGATATGACAAAAGATGGACAACCGGCTGATCCAAATAAAAAACCTGGTCATGGTGGTTGCGGTCATTATCAGCCATCGATTAGAAGAACTGGTTTAGATTTGACAGCCGAATGGAAACATGTTAATGAAGATTCACAGGTAAATGTCAATGATTAATTTTAAAAAAAATCTTGAAATTAGTTAGTTTATCTTATCTTTTTTGAAAAATAATTTGTTTTAAGCAAAATCGATTCAGTGATAATCGATACATTTTAACATTGATTTACTCAAAGAAACCTTTATTATAGAAAAATTCATGTTTGCTATAAAAATGACTATTTTTTTCTGATAAAAATTTAACTCTCGAGAAGAATGTTTTATAGAAAATCTCTAGATAGAAAATTTTTCTATGGGAAATCTATCGATAGTTAATTTTTTTATAGAAAATCTCTGGGTAGCAGAGTTTTCTATAGAATAAGAGTTTTCTATATAAAATCTCTGAGTAGCAGAGTTTTCTATCTCTCGATAGATGAGTTTTCTATAGAAAATCTCTTGATAAAAGAGTTTTCTATAGAAAATCTCTTGTTAGAAGATATTTCGATAGAAAATCTCTTGATAGAAGATTTTTCTATAGAAAATCTCTAGATAGAAAAGTTTTTTTTATTGAAAATCTCTCGATAGAAGAGTTTTTTTTATAGAAAATCTCTCGATGGAAGAGTTTTCTATAAAAAATCTATCAATTTACTAGTTTTCTATAGAAATTCTCTTGATAGAAGAGTTTTCTATAGAAAATCTCTTGATAGAAGAGTTTTCTTTGGAAAATTTCTCAACAGAAGTGTTTTTTATAGAAAATCTCTTTATAGAAGAGTTTTCTTTAGAAAATTTCTCTATAGAAGAGTTTTATTTAGAAAATTTCTCGATAGAAGAGGTTTTTACAGAAAATCTCCCAATAGAACAGTTTTCTATGGAAAATCTCTCGATAGTTGAGTTTTCTACAAATCCCCTCTCGATAGAAGAGGTTGAAGTATATCCAATTCCCAAACTATTCAATTAACAACCTTTTATTTTAAAATTGTAGGAGAAAAAAATGGCCATAACAGCTGAACGCGTTTGGGAAATTCTAAAACACATTACTGACGAAGAGTGCTTCATTATGGGTATGGATCCTAAATACGCACGTCCCGATTGGATGATTATCACTGTATTACCCGTCCCTCCCTTGGCTGTACGACCCGCTGTTGTGATGTTTGGTGCCGCTAAGAATCAGGATGATTTAACGCACAAACTTTCCGATATCATTAAGGCCAACAATGAATTACGTAAAAATGAAGGCACCGGTGCTGCAGCTCATGTTATTATGGAAAATATAAAAATGTTACAATTTCATGTAGCCACACTCGTTGACAATGACATGCCCGGTATGCCCAGAGCTATGCAAAAGTCTGGCAAACCTCTGAAAGCCATTAAATCACGTCTAAAGGGTAAAGAAGGTCGTATTCGTGGTAATTTGATGGGAAAACGTGTAGATTTCTCAGCACGTACTGTCATTACACCCGATCCCAATTTACGTATTGATCAGGTCGGTGTACCACGATCCATTGCACAGAATTTAACTTTCCCCGAATTGGTAACACCTTTCAACATAGATCGTATGCAGGAATTAGTAAGACGTGGTAATTCACAATATCCCGGCGCTAAATATATTGTACGTGACAATGGTGAACGTATTGATTTACGTTTCCATCCCAAACCTTCTGATTTACATTTACAATGTGGCTATAAAGTTGAACGTCATTTACGTGATGATGATTTAGTTATTTTCAATCGTCAGCCCACTTTGCACAAAATGAGTATGATGGGTCATCGTGTTAAAGTTTTGCCGTGGTCAACATTCCGTATGAACTTGTCGTGTACCTCACCCTATAACGCTGATTTTGACGGTGATGAAATGAATTTGCATGTCCCTCAATCGATGGAGACGAGAGCTGAAGTGGAGAATATTCACGTTACTCCACGTCAGATTATTACACCACAGGTAAGAAGAAAATGAAAAAAGTCTTCATGAAAATGAAATCTGATAAAGAACTTTCCCATATTCCATTTCATAAAAATTGTGAGTTAAACAGATGATGTTTATAAGTTACGCTTATATGTGCATTACTCACAAAATGTTGAGTATGAAATGTTGAAACTGAAAACAATTTCCAATCTTTTCTAACCTAATTTTCTTCCACCTTTACAGGCTAACAAACCCGTCATGGGTATTGTGCAGGATACACTGACAGCCGTACGTAAAATGACAAAACGTGATGTCTTTATCACACGCGAACAGGTCATGAACTTGCTTATGTTCTTGCCCACTTGGGATGGTAAAATGCCACAACCGTGTATTTTAAAACCCAAACCTCTATGGACCGGTAAACAAATCTTCACCCTGATCATTCCTGGCAACGTAAACATGATACGTACTCACTCTACACATCCGGACGATGAAGATGATGGTCCTTATAAATGGATTTCTCCCGGTGACACAAAAGTAATGGTAGAACATGGTGAATTGATTATGGGTATTCTGTGTAAGAAAACCCTAGGTACCTCAGCTGGTTCTCTGCTGCATATTGTCTTTTTGGAATTGGGTCATGAGATTGCTGGACGTTTTTATGGTAATATTCAGACTGTCATTAACAATTGGTTGCTGTTAGAGGGTCACAGTATCGGTATTGGTGATACAATTGCTGATCCTCAGACCTATAATGAAATTCAGATGGCCATTAAGAAAGCCAAAGACGATGTCATTAACGTTATTCAGAAAGCTCACAACATGGAATTGGAACCTACACCTGGTAATACTTTGCGTCAGACTTTCGAGAATCAAGTAAATCGTATTTTGAACGATGCTCGTGACAAAACTGGTGGTTCCGCTAAGAAATCTCTTACTGAATACAACAATCTAAAGGCTATGGTGGTGTCTGGTTCTAAAGGTTCCAACATTAATATTTCCCAGGTTATTGCTTGTGTGGGGCAACAGAACGTAGAAGGTAAACGTATACCTTATGGTTTCCGCAAGCGCACTCTGCCACATTTCATCAAAGACGATTACGGTCCTGAATCTAGAGGTTTCGTCGAAAATTCATATCTAGCCGGTTTGACTCCATCCGAATTCTATTTCCACGCTATGGGTGGTCGTGAAGGTCTTATTGATACTGCTGTAAAAACAGCTGAAACTGGTTATATCCAGCGTCGTCTTATAAAGGCTATGGAATCTGTAATGGTAAATTATGATGGTACTGTGCGTAATTCTGTGGGCCAACTTATTCAGTTGCGTTACGGAGAGGACGGTTTGGCTGGTGAAACGGTAGAGTTTCAGAATCTGCCTACTGTTAAGTTATCGAATAAGTCTTTTGAAAAACGTTTCAAATTTGACTGGTCCAATGAACGCTATATGCGCAAAGTGTTTACCGATGAGGTTATTAAGGAGCTGAGTGAAAGTGGCAATGCATTGCCTCAACTAGAGGTAGAATGGGAACAATTGTGCCGTGATCGTGAGGCTTTAAGAGAAATTTTCCCTAATGGTGATTCCAAGGTTGTACTGCCTTGCAATCTACAAAGAATGATTTGGAATGTGCAAAAAATTTTCCATATCAACAAAAGAATGCCCACTGATTTGTCTCCTCTAAGAGTTATTAATGGTGTGCGTGATCTTTTGCAACGTTGTGTTATAGTGGTGGGCAATGATCATTTGTCTAAACAGGCCAACGAAAACGCTACTTTATTGTTCCAGTGTTTGGTGCGTTCTACCTTGTGTACCAAATATGTAGCAGAAGAATTCCGTTTGTCTACCGAGGCATTTGAATGGTTGATTGGTGAAATTGAAACTAGATTCCAACAGGCTCAAGCTAATCCCGGTGAAATGGTGGGTGCCTTGGCTGCCCAGAGTTTGGGTGAGCCTGCCACACAGATGACACTGAACACTTTCCATTTTGCTGGTGTATCCTCAAAGAACGTAACCCTGGGTGTACCACGTCTAAAGGAAATTATCAATATTTCCAAGAAACCTAAAGCTCCTTCCCTAACGGTGTTCTTGACGGGTGGTGCTGCTCGAGATGCTGAAAAGGCTAAGAATGTTTTATGTCGTTTGGAACATACTACTCTGCGTAAAGTAACCGCCAATACTGCTATCTACTATGATCCTGATCCTCAACGTACTGTAATAGCCGAAGATCAAGAATTCGTTAATGTTTACTATGAAATGCCTGATTTTGATCCCACACGCATTTCACCCTGGTTGCTGCGTATTGAACTTGATCGTAAGAGAATGACAGATAAGAAATTGACCATGGAACAGATTGCTGAAAAGATTAATGCAGGTTTTGGTGATGATCTTAATTGTATTTTCAATGATGACAACGCCGACAAATTGGTCTTGCGTATACGTATCATGAATAATGAAGAAAACAAATTCCAAGATGAGGAAGAGGCCGTAGACAAAATGGAAGATGATATGTTCTTGCGTTGCATTGAGGCCAACATGTTGTCTGACATGACACTGCAGGGCATAGAGGCCATTGGCAAAGTGTATATGCATTTGCCACAAACCGACAGTAAGAAACGTATTATCATCACAGAAACAGGAGAATTTAAAGCTATCGGAGAATGGTTGTTGGAAACTGATGGTACCTCTATGATGAAGGTACTCTCGGAACGTGATGTTGATCCTGTACGTACTTCATCCAATGATATTTGTGAAATTTTCCAAGTACTTGGCATAGAAGCTGTGCGTAAATCCGTAGAAAAAGAAATGAACGCTGTGCTACAGTTCTACGGTTTGTATGTAAACTATCGTCATTTGGCCTTGTTGTGTGACGTAATGACCGCAAAGGGTCATTTGATGGCCATTACACGTCACGGTATCAATAGACAGGATACTGGTGCTCTTATGAGATGTTCCTTTGAAGAAACCGTTGATGTGTTGTTGGATGCTTCAGCTCATGCTGAGACAGATCCTATGAGAGGTGTATCAGAGAATATTATTATGGGTCAATTGCCGAAAATGGGAACTGGTAAGTTTAAACAAGAAGAAGGTATTAATTTGGAAAGTTATTTATTTGTTTTTTTTTTTTTTCGCCAATTTAAGGTTGTTTCGATTTGTTGCTGGACGCTGAGAAGTGTCGTTATGGTATTGAAATTGCCAATACTTTGGGCTCTAGCATGTTGGGAGGTTCGGGCATGTTCTTTGGTGCTGTTGCCACGCCCAGTATGTCACCACCACGTACTCCTTGGATTCAGTGTGGTACTCCCAAATATTTGTCGCCTTCTGGACAAAGTAAGTTTAAGAAAAATTATGGTTTTTATTTAGATTTCAGTAGAAAAAAGTTTATTAATTTTAATTAAACATATATTTTTTCCTTTTCTCTTTTAGTGAGTGGCATGACACCCGGAGGACCCAGCTTTTCGCCTTCGGCAGCTTCAGAAGCCTCGGGTATGTCACCCATATGGTCACCAGCTCATCCTGGTTCATCACCCTCTTCTCCGGGACCGGCTATGTCACCCTTCTTATCGCCCTCTCCAAATGTATCACCACCCTCGTACTCGCCCACAAGTCCCAACTATACGGCATCATCACCTGGCGGAGCATCACCCAGTTACTCACCACTCAGTCCGAACTATTCGCCTACCAGTCCAGTTTATGCCTCCAGTTCGCCCAGATACTCTTCGACAACACCTAATTTCAATCCACAATCAACCGGTTATCTACCCTCAACCAGTGGTTATTCACCATCATCACCGGTCTATTCGCCAACATCGAATTTCCCATCATCCAGCCCCTCATATGCAGGCAGTGGCTCAAATATGTATTCACCAGCGAGTGCTTATTCACCGACTTCTTCGAATTATTCACCAAATTCTCCTTCGTATTCGCCTACTTCTCCTTCGTATTCGCCTTCAAGTCCTTCGTATTCTCCCTCGTCGCCCTGCTACTCGCCTACATCACCCTCTTATTCTCCCTCATCGCCTACTTATACGCCAGTAACACCTTCTTATTCACCTTCTTCACCCAATTGTTCGTCTTCTCCACACTATTCACCAGCCTCGCCGGCTTATTCCCAAACAGGGGTGAAATATTCCCCTACATCACCGAAATATTCACCACCTTCACCTTCGTACGATGGTTCACCGGGTTCGCCGCAATATACCCCCGGCTCACCACAATATTCACCAGCATCACCCAAATATTCTCCTACTTCCCCCTTGTATTCACCGGCTTCACCACAACATTCGCCAGCCAATCAATACAGCCCAACAGGTTCCAGTTATTCGGCTACTTCTCCCCGTTACTCGCCCAACATGTCCATTTACTCTCCCAGCAGCACAAAATATTCGCCCTCGTCTCCTCCTACCTACACACCAACACGCAATTACTCTCCAGCTTCACCCATGTACTCGCCCACAGCTCCTTCTCACGGTTATTCACCAACTAGTCCGGCCTACTCGCCTAGTAGTCCCACCTATGAGGAAAGTGATGATTAAATTTGACACACTAAAGCAAATAATTTGCTATTTTTTGTCGTTTATTGTAGCAGAGTGTTTGAAACAAAAAAAAAAATATATAAAGCATTTCCTAAAGGATATTAAAAACGTTAAACTTAAGACTTAAGGTTCTAAACAAGACACATTATACCAGACAATTGGAATATGCACTTTATATTATTCTTATTATATGGATTGTAGTAAGAAGTTTTATTTAGGGCCTGATTTTAAAACTCTATAACGAGTTCCTTAATCAGGGGGTTTAAACTTATCTTTCAAAATAGCTTTTTTCTCCTTTATTTTTTTAATTTTTTTTTTATTAAAGTCACCATTATTTTTTACTAACTTAAGTTACCAAATTTTCTTTCTTTCTTTCTAAGTTGAAAACAATTTCAAATTTATCTTAAAATGACTTTAAAATCAATTTTAATTTGCAATTAAAATTATAAAAAAATTAAATTTATTACAATTTTAATTACCTATTTGTAATAATTTAAAACAAGAACAACAAATTTTAATTTCTCTATTAAATTTTAACTTAAAAAATATATATTTTATATAAAAAACAACAGAAACAAACAAAAATTATAAAAAACAACAAAAAGAAAAAAAAAACCTTTATAATATAACCATTTATTATAGTTTGTAATAAATTATAGAAAACTCAAAAATATACAAAAAAAAAAAAATAAGTTACAAAAAACTGAAATTTTTAAATGTGTTTTATTAAGAATTGATGATTTTCCACAGAAAAAAGTTTTTTCTTAAGAAAAAGAATAAGATTCAGTTTTGCCGCAACAATCAGACATGGAACTGTAGTCTAGTATTGTTTAGTCCATAGTCTAGTCTATAATCCCGTCTAAAATCCAGTCTATAGCTCCGTCTATAGTCCAGTCTGTAGTTCCGTCTATAGTCAAGTCTATAGTCCAGTCTATACTGTAGTCAATAGTCTACTTTATTGTCCAGTCTATAGTATAGTCTATTCTATAGTATAATATAGTATATAGTTCATTCTATAGCCTGGATTATTTTTTTTCACGAGAAATTGTTTTATTATAAGAAAACTTAATTTTCATAAAATTTTAACTCGATATTAAACCTTATTCTCTTTTACTTCCCTTTAATAACAATTCACCATAAATTTAAGCGTTTTTTTACTACTATGCATATTGACCACACTATTGTTTATTCTATTACATTTTAGTTTTCACATCCGTTCTCGTTAGTAATGTCGCTTAGAAAAGCCAGTCGTTAAAGTGAATTAATTTATTATAGAGAAACAACAGTTCCGATCAAAAAAGAGTTTAAATTGCTAATTAATGTGTTAAATTTTCATAATATAAAATTATTTTAATAAAATCTCTAAAAAAACACAAAAAGTGTTTTTTTTAACACTTAAACACAGCGTCCAAATGCAGCACAGTTTTTTGCCAGTCATTGTTATTCCAACTATTAAAGTGTTATTAAAAAGTTTTATGTTAAAAAAGGTTAATAATCAGTTACTTGGTGAAGGTAAAAGTAATTCCTTCACATATTTTTGTTTAAATTAGAAAAAAATTGGCAAAAGTTATTAAATTGCCAAAATTATGCAGCCATTTGCAATGTTTTTATTTTGGTGGCTTCGTTTGTGGGAGTTGTTGTTGTTGTTATTCTGCTAGTTGTTTACTTGTGCATTTGCTTTGTTATGGTTGTTGTATGTTGTTTTTATTGTTATGAAAATTCCTGCAAATAAACTGTGTACCAACAATAACAACAATTTTGATAAACAATGATAAGCAACATGATTAACAACAAAGTTGCTGCAAAAATAATGTTGTTGAGGGATAAAATAAAAATGAAGTGTTTTTTGTAGTGAAGTAGTTCGAAAAAATTAATTAAAAAATATTCTAGTCTATAGTCTAGTTTATAGTCTAGTCTATAGTCTAGTCTATAGTCTAGTCTAGTCTATAGTCTAGTCTATAGTCTAGTCTATAGTCTAGTCTATAGTCTAGTCTATAGTCTAGTCTATAGTCTAGTCTATAGTCTAATCTATAGTCTAGTCTATAGTCTAATCTATAGTCTAGTCTATAGTCTAGTCTATAGTCTAGTCTATAGTCTAGTCTATAGTCTAGTCTATAGTCTAGTCTATAGTCTAGTCTATAGTCTAGTCTATAGTCTAGTCTATAGTCTAGTCTATAGTCTAGTTTATAGTCTAGTTTATAGTCTAGTCTATAGTCTAGTCTATAGTCTAGTCTATAGTCTAGTCTATAGTCTAGTCTATAGTCTAGTCTATAGTCTAGTCTATAGTCTAGTCTATAGTCTAGTCTATAGACTAGTCTATAGTCTAGTCTATAATCTAGTCTATAGTCTAGTCTATAGTCTAGTCTATAGTCTAGTCTATAGTCTAGTCTATAGTCTAGTCTATAGTCTAGTCTATAGTCTAGTCTATAGTCTAGTCTATAGTCTAGTCTATAGTCTAGTCTATAGTCTAGTCTATAGTCTAGTCTATAGTCTAGTCTATAGTCTAGTCTATAGTCTAGTCTATAGTCTAGTCTATAGTCTAGTCTATAGTCTAATCTATAGTCTAGTCTATAGTCTAATCTATAGTCTAGTCTATAGTCTAGTCTATAGTCTAGTCTATAGTCTAGTCATAGTATAGTCTATAGTCTAGTCTATAGTCTAGTCTATAGTCTAGTCTATAGTCTAGTCTATAGTCTAGTCTATAGTCTAGTCTATAGTCTAGTCTATAGTCTAGTCTATAGTCTAGTCTATAGTCTAGTCTATAGTCTAGTCTATAGTCTAATCTATGGTCTAGTCTATAGTCTAGTCTATAGTCAAGTCTATAGTCTAGTCTATAGTCTAGTCTATAGTCTAGTCTATAGTCTAGTCTATAGTCTAGTCTATAGTATAGTCTATAGTCTAGTCTATAGTCTAATCTATGGTCTAGTCTATAGTCTAGTCTATAGTCTAGTCTATAGTCTAGTCTATAGTCTAGTCTATAGTCTAGTCTATAGTCTAGTCTATAGTCTAGTCTATAGTCTAGTCTATAGTCTAGTCTATAGTCTAGTCTATAGTCTAGTCTATAGTCTAGTCTATAGTCTAGTCTATAGTCTAGTCTATAGTCTAGTCTATAGTCTAGTCTATAGTCTAGTCTATAGTCTAGTCTATAGTCTAGTCTATAGTCTAGTCTATAGTCTAGTCTATAGTCTAGTCTATAGTCTAGTCTATAGTCTAGTCTATAGTCTAGTCTATAGTCTAGTCTATAGTCTAGTCTATAGTCTAGTCTATAGTCTAGTCTATAGTCTAGTCTATAGTCTAGTCTATAGTCTAGTCTATAGTCTAGTCTATAGTCTAGTCTATAGTCTAGTCTATAGTCTAGTCTATATCTAGTCTATAGTCTAGTCTATAGTCTAGTCTATAGTCTAGTCTATAGTCTAGTCTATAGTCTAGTCTATAGTCTAGTCTATAGTCTAGTCTATAGTCTAGTCTATAGTCTAGTCTATAGTCTAGTATAGTCTAGTCTATAGTCTAGTCTATAGTCTAGTCTATAGTCTAGTCTATAGTCTAGTCTATAGTCTAGTCTATAGTCTAGTCTATAGTCTAGTCTATAGTCTAGTCTATAGTCTAGTCTATAGTCTAGTCTATAGTCTAGTCTATAGTCTAGTCTATAGTCTAGTCTATAGTCTAGTCTATAGTCTAGTCTATAGTCTAGTCTATAGTCTAGTCTATAGTCTAGTCTATAGTCTAGTCTATAGTCTAGTCTATAGTCTAGTCTATAGTCTAGTCTATAGTCTAGTCTATAGTCTAGTCTATAGTCTAGTCTATAGTCTAGTCTATAGTCTAGTCTATAGTCTAGTCTATAGTCTGTCTTAGTCTAGTCTATAGTCTAGTCTATAGTCTAGTCTATAGTCTAGTCTATAGTCTAGTCTATCGTCTAGTCTATAGTCTAGTCTTATAGTCTGTCTATAGTCTAGTCTATAGTCTAGTCTATAGTCTAGTCTTAGTCTAGTCTATAGTCTAGTCTATAGTCTAGTCTATAGTCTAGTCTATAGTCTAGTCTATAGTCTAGTCTATAGTCTAGTCTATAGTCTAGTCTATAGTCTAGTCTATAGTCTAGTCTATAGTCTAGTCTATAGTCTAGTCTACTAGTTCTAGTTAGTCTATAGTTCTAGTCTATAGTCTAGTCTATAGTCTAGTCTATAGTCTAGTCATAGTCTAGTCTATAGTCTAGTCTATAGTCTAGTCTATAGTCTAGTCTATAGTCTAGTCTATAGTCTAGTCTATAGTCTAGTCTATAGTCTAGTCTATAGTCTAGTCTATAGTCTAGTCTATAGTCTAGTCTATAGTCTAGTCTATAGTCTAGTCTATAGTCTAGTCTATAGTCTAGGTCTATAGTCTAGTCTATAGTCTAGTCTATAGTCTAGTCTATAGTCTAGTCTATAGTCTAGTCTATAGTCTAGTCTATAGGTCTAGTCTAAGTCTAGTCTATAGTCTAGTCTATAGTCTAGTCTATAGTCTAGTCTATAGTCTAGTCTATAGTCTAGTCTATAGTCTAGTCTATAGTCTAGTCTATAGTCTAGTCTATAGTCTAGTCTATAGTCTAGTCTATAGTCTAGTCTATAGTCTAGTCTATAGTCTAGTCTATAGTCTAGTCTATCTAGTCTAGTATAGTCTAGTCTATAGTCTAGTCTATAGTCTAGTCTATAGTCCTAGTCTATAGTCTAGTCTATAGTCTAGTCTATAGTCTAGTCTATAGTCTAGTCTAGTCTATAGTCTAGTCTATAGTCTAGTCTATAGTCTAGTCTATAGTCTAGTCTATAGTCTAGTCTATAGTCTAGTCTATAGTCTAGTCTATAGTCTAGTCTTTAGTCTAGTCTATAGTCTAGTCTTTAGTCTAGTCTATAGTGTAGTCAGTATTGTACTCTATATTCTAGTCTAGCCTATAGTCTAGTCTATAGCCTAGTCTATTGCCTAGTCTATAGTCTAGTCAATAGAGTAGTCTATAGTCAAGTATATAGTTTATTCTATAGTGTAGTTTAGTCAATAGTCTGGGTTAGTTTATAGTCTATTTTGGGCTAGGTTGGTCTATAGTCTAGATTATCTTTTGCGCAAAAATAGTTATTCTAAATGAAAAAATATTTCTGTGAATGTTAATGCAATTTTAAGCTTTATACGTCATTACTCCCCCTTACTGTCAATCCACTACCAATTTATGCGTTTTTTGCTATTATGCCAATTGACCACACTATTGTTTACAATTTTACATTTTAGTTTTCACATAAATTTTCGTTAGTAAAGTCGCCTAGAAAAGCCGGTCGTGAAAGTGAATTAATTTATTACAGAAAAATCGCGGTTCCGATCAAAAAAGTGTTTAAATCGTTAATTAATGTGTTTAAATTTCATAATCTAAAGTTATTTAAATAAAATCTCTAATAATAAAACCATAAAAAGTGTTTAAAAATGCAGCGTCCGTATGCGGCCCACTTTGTTTGCCAATCATTGTTAATTTATCTACTAAAGTGTTGTTAAAAAGTTTTATGGTAAAAAAGTTAATAATCAATTCCTTAATGAAGTAAAAAGATATTCCTTCTAATATTTTTGTTTAAATAAGAAAAAAATTGGCAAAAGTAATTAAATTGCAAAAATTATGCAGCCATTTGCAATGTTTTTATTTTGGTGGCTTCGTTTGTGGGAGTTGTTGTTGTTATTATTC